ATTGACAAAATCACCATCAGTCAAATGCAAAAAGCCGCACTGCTTGGATCTGCACGCATATTACGAAAATATGTTATGACGTCCTAGGCCTCTGGGTGGGGCCCGACTAGTAACCAATGCCAAATCCGGCGAAACAACTGGCCGCTGTGATACAATTTTATAATAATAATCAAATAAGTAATATTTATTAAACAAAATTAGAGCCACAACCAAATGAAAGGATGTAAACAATAGTGAAATCTATTGCATTCAAAGATTATGTCATTGAGGTACAGTAAACTGAGGTTTTGCTATAATTAAAAAGCTACTCTGTATTCATTTAAACAAGAAATAAAAAGTCAGGTGGAAGAAATTGGAGCAATACCAGGAGTTGATCAGCGTTAGTTCTTTATTGTTGAGTGACTATTTACAAGAATTTTGTCAGGCTCACCCCATTCTCTTTGGACTAGCTGGATAAGGGATTCATGAATTCTGGAGGTGGTCAGACTCATGTGGCTTCTTGATGTGCAAGGATTCTAAGCTAGCTAGTCTTTTCTTCCTCCCACTCTAGCCGGAGATTCCACTACAAATATGCTGACATCTTAGAAATATTGGGAACCCTTCTAAAAGTAAATAGTAGATAAAATTGGTTAATGCAAACATTGAAGGTTTGCTAATTTAGTTTTGATAACTGTTGGATGCAATCCAAATCTGCTTGAGAAGAGATTTTTCTTGTGGGACTGGTTCATAGCAAAACATGACAGAGATTGTCAGATTTAGCACTGAAAGATGTGTGGTTCATTCATGTTTTGTGTTTCTCCAGATTCTTGAAACAATGCCGATGACGGACAAAGTTGAGGAACTGCTACATGTTTTAGGCCCATTTTATGAAATTGTAGAGGATAAAAAAAATAAAGGATCTGATCTAATCACAGGTGGGAATACATAACAACTCTCATCTCTTTATCAGCTTTAAATTGCTTAATTTCACATTACACAATATTTTTAATGCTGTTTCTCAGGCTTGTACTACCAGTGATTTAAAAGAATGTTAAACCTTTTTTGTGGTACAGATGAACAACCTCTCATTCAGCAATTTGTTTAACTTGCAAAGACACTGAATGAATGGTCCTCATTTGCAGCATCCCTATTTTTACATCACCACCATTCAGAGGTGGGTTGCTGCCGGTTCGGCCCGGTTCAGCCTGGATCAGTCGAACCAGTAGTAGCGGCGGCAGGAGGCTCCGCCCACCAGCTCGAACGCTTCTGCACGAGCGCACATGGGCCCCGCTTGAACTAGTAGTAAAATAATTAGCAACCCACCTCTGCCACCATTTGTGACCTTATCTGCCAATTTCCTACAAATAAAATCCAATAGTAACCAGTGATTTCCTTGCTTAACAATCCACAGTGAATTGCTTAACAAAGGCAATCAGAAATATTGAGATTTCAGTCACCCAAGGCTAGTTCACATTGCATTTTACTACATGTTGCTCAATTCCATTCCAATAGCCATTGCTAACTGAGGATTATCTGTATTTGTTTTAGAATAAATTATATTGAATATTGAAAAAAGATGTATATGGGTAGGGTTACCACACTCGATTTGCAAAGTTCTGAAATTCCCCTAAATGGAAGGAAAAATTTAGACTTTCTTGATCTTCCCACCTAGTCGTTGTTTTACAACATGTGTGGATTTTTGCAATCTAATAAAGTTATAAATATCAGAAAAATAAGTGTTAATAACTCCTGTGAAAATAATTTTCTTATATTATCATGACATGACTTCCGTTGCTTTGTTCTGGCTTGTCTTGGCTAGCTCTTTTTTTTTCACAATGTCTAAACCAGATGTGTCCAACCTGCAGCCCACAGGTTACCTGTGGCTCTGAACAGCTAGCAGTGCAGTCTCACAAAGTGTAAAATTTTAACAATAATATATTTTATATGCCGCCCAAGACAATTCAGCGTGGCCTGGACAAGTCAAAAAGTTGGATACCCATGGTCTAAACAAATATGCATCCTTTCCCATTTTTTTCCTTCAAGAATATATAATATTTGAAAAGGCACTTAATATGAACTCAAATATGAGATCTAAATTCTATTATTAATAGCTAGTTATATTCTGCATATGGTGACAAAAAAAGCAATCATGCAATTCTCCTTTCCATGCCTCAGGTGAGAAGGATTTTACATAACATATTTAGCTTGATTCAATATTTCATTTTGTAGGTTTGCGAAAGAGGTTGGCTCACAAACCAAAAAAACAAGCTAGGTTTGCACAACTTAAAAAACATTGGAAGGTTAAAACTTAACTGAATGGCTAGTTTTTAAATGATCTGGTTGTATAAATGCAACCACTTTTAATGCTCAGGTTATGAGTTTTCCCCCCTCTCATCTCCCTTGTAGAGAGCTGCAGGTTTTCGGTTGTGGCAGAATGTGGGATTGTGGATACCTCTTTGCTATGCAATGCCTGATGGCTATATTTCTAAGCAGTACAATGGGGAAAATATAGAAGAGATGTTGGCTACATTCTTTGAGTAAATATTAACACAGTGTAGCTTTTCTACCGCATAAGGTCAATTCTAGTTAATCAGATAAGTAGGTCAAATAAAATCTGTAAATTCAGGCATTTAATTAAAATATTCTCTTGTCCTTCTCTCCTAATTTGCCAAAAGTAGTTACATTATTATCTGAGGATACATAGAGCTAAATACACAGAGAAAATAGGTCTTGATTTTTCAATATTATAGTGACATGAAAAAATCCTGACAAAAAAGTCAAAAGGACTTTGGTCGTATTTACTTCTAAGAACATTACTCTCTTTTACGCTGCCAAATCATGCAAAACAACTTGAACAGAACATTTACAAAGCAGTTGTTCAATTAAAAAAAAGTTTTCATTAGCCAAAGTAGCATTTTGCAGCTTGATCATCAGTTAAAAATCAGTATGTATATCAAGAACCTTTCTTTAAAAATAAGTACGGTAGTTTATTTATCTTCTTAAAAACAAAAGTCTGTAATATGGTTTATTTTTGTTGTTATCAAAGAAACAACCCCTAGCTATATATGGATGCCTGGTATGAAATTTAGCACTTAGTCTCTGAATGTGAGTAGAATATTTTGGAAAAACATGACTGTCAAATAGTGCTATCGTACATTTGGTCTACTCCAAATGTTCGTATGACTCCATAAGTGGGTGCCTATTTTGTTCATGAGATATATTCAGCAACAACAAAATTCTTACAGAGATTGCTAAACTTTCCAATATGTAAGGCATGATTTGAATATGTATTTCTCTGAACTTGACAGCAAGTAATGACGTTGCCAATATAATAAAAAGATTTAGTGCATATTAAAAGTCTTAGTTTATATAGCATAAGCCAATATTTCTCAACCATGGAGCTTTAAAATTGTAGATATCAAATCCCTGTAAGGTTGGCTGGGTAATTCTAGGAATTGAAGTCCATTCATCTCAATGTTGTGAGGTTGAGAAACACTGCCATAATGGCAGATGGTATCTTATTTAGTGTGGTACACATTCTCATGGATGAAAATGTATTTCATCACAGGCATGAAATATTATTTTACAGCTTCTGATGAAATGAATTAAGAAATACACATTTAGGCCATATTAAATTACCGTAATCCCTTTTTTTTTTTTTTTTACCATAAGAGTCCCTGATTCTGGTGAAATATTGTTACTGATTTAAAAAACTGTAGATATTCTCACTGGTATGGTATTAGTGCTAATTGAGAAAAAAGTCAGTAAATGATTATATCCATGGACATACATTTTTCAGTAATTATAATTTAGTGTTGAATCTAGATTAAGGTTTTTCCTCTTCTGCTTAATTGATTACTTGAAGTTGATTGTCAAGAATGTGAAGATTAGACAATGATAGTTTAGGGAAAGAATGGGAGCAGCTGGAACAATTTTATATATATGTATATGTATATGTATATGTATATGTATATGTATATGTATATGTATATGTATATGTATATGTATATGTACCAACCAGAGTTATATTTTTATTAGTATTATATACATTATGTATTTTGCTTCAAATTAAATTATTCTGCAATTGGACAGAGTAGTGGCCTTCCAGCATCTACTTGTGAGAATGTAATTTTTATTTCATTGCTCACTTTTTATCATATTAGGCAAGGAGAATGAAAGTGAAATACTGTGTTGATTATTTTATCAGAACAGATACTAAAGAAAAAAACCTGAGCTAATTTTTCCCATAACATCAGGTTTGATTCCAACAGATATATCTGTAAAAATATTCTGAGTTGCCAACATATTTGGGAAGCATGACATTGATTGATGCAGTCACATTTCATCCTTCTTCTTAGGAGCCCAAGGCAATATAATAATTTTTGCTCTGATATTTAAATATTATCAGCTAGTCCACCCCTTAATTATCCTGAGCTTTTGGGTTCTGAATAAAAACGGCAGCAAAAGATGATGCACCATATCCAAGATGTAATTTACACATGCATAGTAGGTGGTCATGCTACAGATTTGAAAATCTGTCAATCTGTGAATATGACTGTGGCTTGCAAAACAGCCCTGTACAAATTGTAAAATCAGTAGTAGAAATAAATCCCACTATATTATATAGTAATGAATGAAAGCGATAGAGAACTATATACAGATAATCCTCACTTAATGACTTAATGATTGTTCAAAGTTGTGATGGACATTTTAAAAAAGCTATTTATGGCCGTCCTCAAAGTTACAATTGCCATATACACACCTATAGTCACGGGATAGCATTTTGAGTATTTGACAACTGGCTCGCATTTATGATTGGTTTCAGCCTCTTGCAGTCACGTGAACCACAATTTGTGACAAAACTGTTAAAAAACATCCATTGGATACTCTGGATTCATTTAATGACAATGTGGTTAGCTTTGTAAACTTCCGTTATTGTTATAGATCTGTACATAATCTGTCTTCGATTCTCCGTAGACTTTAGTAAATTTTGTGTTTTAAATAATCAGCTACCATTTCCAAGGAAATGTCATGTCCTATGTACAAGTTAGAATAATACTAATAAAAATTTTGTTATAGCCACTGTTAACATAGTATTACCCTCTTGAAGTTTCACAGAATGTGGACTTGAAGCGGAACGAAAAGTGACTTGCGTTATTCCAAATGAAAATTTAGGTAAAGATTTCCCATCTAGTCAAATCTGACTCTGGATTTAGGAGTCATGCTCATCTTCATTTCTTAGCGGAGGGAGCCACCATTGTCCAAAGATGCTTCTGTGGTCACATAGCCAGTATGGCAGTACGCCAAGGTGCATGGAACACTGTTAGCTTCCCGCCAGAGTTGTACCTATTTATCTACTTGCAGCTGCATGCTTTCTAGGTGGGCAAGAGCTAGAACAAGCAACAGGAGGTCACCCTGTTTTGCCGTGCTTGGGTGTTGAACCCAAGCTCTCAGCTTTCTAGCTGACAAGCTCAGCATTTTCAACCAATGAGGTATCATGCCCCATGAAAATTAGTCATCTAAATAATTATTTTACAACTTCAGTTTTTAGGTAAATAAAATTTATCTTAATAGATCTTCACAAAGCTGTGCCAGCTGTGAATGGAAAATCAGAAAACAATGACAGTGGGGCAGAATCAGAGGACGAACCACAACCGGAAGAATTGAGAGATGTCCAGCAGATTGATAAAGGTACATATTTATTTCTGAATAGCATATGCACTTTTACACAGGTTTTTGATAAAACTGCTTCTCAGAACAGCCCCCCCCCCACCTAAAAAAGGCAAATATTGTTGGGGAACAATTGTGTTCTCCTAACAATAATGAGAAACCATAATTTTCATTTATATTATATTTTCAATATTTTAAATTGTACATTCTAGTTTTTTGAGGGATCATCTGTGTTCCATGGTATGATCGAAGTGGCCAACTTGATGTTCTCTGGGTTCCTTTGATTAAACAATGCCAAGGATTCCAGAAAGTCATCTCAATGAGAAGTGCAGTATTTGTTAATTAATTAATATTAATATTATATATATATAAATGGCTTGTTCCAGTATAACTCTGGAACGCCTTGAGCAATTTCAATCAAACTTGGTACACAGATGCCTCACTCTCTGGAGACAAATACTATGGGGGTAGGACACCCCTGACACCCCTTGGGGTGTGTTTTCTGTTAAGATGCAGCCTGTTGTGCCTTTAAATGGCTTCTACTGCACAGCGCAGTGGAGTTACCATGGTAATGGCTTCACAGTATTCCACAAGGCAGAGTCCCTCTGGTAAGGGGGAAAATCCAACATTAGAAATTACGTTTGGTCTGGACATTTCCCCCCTATAAATAAATACCTGGTAATGTTGGGTTATCAGCCTGTGTGTATGTGTGTTTGGGAGGGGGGTTTCTGCCATCATTACTGTCGCTTCTGCGTGCAAAAAAATAGCACCTAAAATTTGCCCCCCAAAATTTAGGTGCACGTGCGCATTTGCACCTAAAAATATCTGTGCATATGCACAACGTTAGAAAAAGGGGAAAAAGTTCTGTAATGAAGATTGTTCTGCACATGTGCAGAACTGAAAATCAAGATGGCGCCACTGCTGCTAGAACCGGATTGGGTGCGTGGCAGGCCGAGTAGGTACTCGGCTGAACTGGTCCGAACCAGTAGGAATCCTGTGTATGTATGCGTGTGTCAATTTGTTAAAAGTTATAAGCCTAATACCAGGAGGCTGTGAGTTCTAATTCCATTTTAGACATGAGCCCTAGGAAGGAGACAATGATGAACTGCTTCTGAAATCTTGCCAGTAAAACTGCAGGGGCAGTAATGAATTGAATAAATAAATAATTCATTATGTTACCCTGTCACTTATTTATGAGCTAATCTCACTGCACACAAAAAAACACTTTTGTCAAATAAGCAATTATAGAGTTGGGCTCTGCAGCCTGAATACCAATACATTAGATTCCGACTTCTTTTTAAAATGAAAGAAACGATTTACATCAAATCTAGATATTGTCCCTCTCAATATCTAAGTCAGCAGCCCCCAACCTTTTGGGTTTAGGGACTGGTTCTGTGAAGAGAGGTTTTTCCATGGACCAACAGTGGTGTGGTTCCATGTGCTGCCTGCATCCCATAGATGGGACTTCACTTATTTGTTTGGCCCAGTTTCTGGCATGCTTTGGACTGGTGCCAGTTCATGGGGGCTGGGGACCCTAGTCTGATTCTGGATGGTTTATAGGTAAAAATCATAAAAACCATATGAAACACCATCCATTACACAACTAAAAACTAATTTGGAGACAGTTAAAAGGTGGAGGGAACACTTTCAAGCTTTCTAGACCTGGGATTGCGTGCTACTCTTCAATCCTTGTGCCACTTAGCAGAGCCACATCTACACACTATTCCAAAAGGCCGTAAAAGTGAGGACCATTGTCACCTCTGAATGCAAGGTTTTCCATAGAGTAGAGCAATTCCCTTCCTAGTTCCTGCCAGCCAAAATTCTTTAACCAAATGAGTCTTGTAACGTGGCCTCATCCCTGCCCAACCGGGTGGAGCAGGTTGAAGTAATTGGGACAAGATGGTTCTTCAGGTAAGCTGATTCCCATTGAGAAATCTTTTAATGCTTGTAAGTAAATCCTATAATTCTGTACTTGGGTAGTTGGATTCTTGGAATTCAGTTGCACTTAGTTACAAAGATTCTACTCCCAGATACTGTAAATGTGTACACTGTACCCACTTTTTCCCCCCCAATGGCAATTAAAAATTCAGTTTTCCTGTACAAAATGAAAATGTATGGACAGCAAATTATTGGGAGAAATCAGATTCATGGGTCAGCCATGGAAGTTCAGAGCCAATTTAGGTGGTCCTCAACCCAACATTTAAAGTTGTCATGGGAGAAATGAGAGAAGCTTTTGTGTCTGTTGCCTTGACCATCTGGAAAAATCGGTGGCACATATATTGTTAAATATAATAGAAATAGATAGCAGTTTGATGGATTTTTTTTTAAACAACGAGCTGTTTTATCACTTTTAATACCAATGGCCATTTAGATTAATCCGTGAAATATTTAATTCATAAATATTGTACATCCCTACCTGACTCTGTTGTTACATCCCCAACACTCCCTAATTTTAACCCAAGACTGTCTACCGTTGACCTCACTCCATTCCTAAGAGGTCTCTAAGGGGCGTGCGTAAGAGTACAAGTGTGCTTACCCTCCCTGTCCTACTGCCTCCATTTATTCATACCCATTTACTGTGTTCATATTATATGTATACTTATATACCTGTTATCTTTTACATGTTTGACAAAATAAATAAATAAAATAAAATTAAAAATGTACGTGTAGTCATTGATTCGCAACAGTTTGTTTAGTGACCATTCAAAGTTACAATGGCACTGAAAAAAGTGACTTACGTTTTTCACACTTATGACCATTGCAACTTCCCCTGGCGACGTGATCAAAATTCAGGCCCTTGGCAACTGACTCATATTAATGATGGTTGCAGTGTCCCAGGGTCAAGGTGATCATCTTTTGTGACCTTTTGACCAGCAAAGTCAATGGTGAAGCCAGAGTCACTTAACAGCACTTTTACCAACTAAATGACTTCATTGATTCACTTAACAGCTGTGGTACGAAAGGTCATAAAAGTAGGCAAAATTTACTTATCTTACTTAGCAACAGAAAGCTTGGGCTCAATTGTGGTCATAAGTTGAGGACTATCAGTATTTGTAAAAAATGTAGAGTACTATATGTGATATTGAGGTTCTGTTTGCACATTTATCTCCTTAGGACCTTCAGAAGAAGAAGAAGATGCGAAACAAAATTCATCCCCAGATAAGGATCTAGATGGTGTGGTTATCAATGGAAGTTGCAATGCTGTTTCTAACATTGACATAAACAATGGCTTACAGTCCAAATCTAACCTGAATGGCATCAATGTGGATGACGAAATACAGATAAGTGAAAAGTGCCTTGAGTTACCAGTCATCCCTAACTGGGATTCTACTCATCAAGGTACGGTGTTCAGATGCTTTTGTTATCCAAATCCATGTTAATAAGAAAGGTAGGGTAGGGTGGGATGGAATGGGATGGGATGGGATGGAAGAGACTTTATAGGTCATCTAGTTCAATCCCTCGCCCAAGCAGGAGGCCCTATGTATACCATTTCTGACAGTTGGCAGTCCAGTCTCTTCTTCAAAGTTCCCACCACTTCTGAAGGCAAGCTGTTCCATTGGTTGATTGATGTTTGCCAATGTGGCTAATTTTTTAGAAAACATTTCCTCTTGATGCTACTTCAGTGGTGGGTTGCAGGCGGTATGCCCCAATACAGGCGTATCAGAGTCAGCCTGGAACACCGGATACCGCTCCGGTACGGTGCTTCAGAGGGCCTGCCCGCCCATCCGAGCTCCTTACCAGTCTTTTAAGTCTTCTGCGCTTCTGTGCACGTGCCTGGCACGTACAGCGCCTGCACGATGCTTCGCTGAGCAGCTGGAGCATCGCTGTAGCTTGCGGAGGTGCTAAGATGCATGCACGCACTGCGCATGTGTGCACGTGCATTGCATGCGTCCATGTGGATGCTGCTAGGCCTGTTACAACTGTACCGGTTGGAACGGGATCCGGAACCCACCACTGTGCTACTTGGTTTGTTTTCCAGCATTGATACATATAGGAGAGCAAACAATGGGTTGATGCCCAGTTTAAGTGAAGAATTAATTTAAGTATCCTTCCACATTGTCTGCCATGGTACCATGAACACCGCTTTCCTTTGGCTACAATCAAATAGTCCTACTTTCTGATCATTTATTTTCCTGCTTCACTGGGAAAATTAATAATCCCTACTTACTCTTCTATCTGCTTAAACAATGGAGCAAGTAATGGAGCCCCCTTAAATTTTAGCATCTTTAGAAAAGATGGTCAGCTTTTTGTTTAAGCTGATTAATACTTTTTTATGCAAGCATACTTATTTATAGATATTATTATATCAGGCCTGTCAAACTGGCAGCCCACGAACCAGATGCGCCACATATAGGCCACACCTACCTCGGCTCCATAAAGGGAAAAAATGTTGCGATACATCACGTGACATGATTGAGTTTGACACCCGTGTTATATACAACCCTAGAGTGGAGAAATATTGTAAAAGTGCTCCAAGTGGCCCTTAATATTTTGTTCCTTCAACAACGTCAACACCTTTGGAAGAAAAGAAGGAATAAGAGTAGGCTGGTGTCTACATATAAAACATTGTATACTGTATGTGGATATATATTAGTGGTGGGTTGCTCGCCGTGTGCGTCCATGTGGGTGATGCTGGGCCTGTTCCAACCATACCGGTTGGAAGGGATCCAGAACCCAACACAGACACATATATTTGTATGTGTATGTATATGTGTGTGTGTATGTGTGTGTGTATGTATATATGTGTATATATATATATGTATGTATGTGTGTGTGTATGTGTGTATTTAGAGTCACAACCCCTGGTATGCTCAAATATGGGAGGAAGTCCACTGCTTCCATTCTCTGTCCATCGGCTCGTCACAAGAGACCATCCAGACAGAAACCCAATATTTTTACTGTTGCCTTTGTTACATTTGTGTTGTATTTGTGTTGTAGCACAGGTTCTAATCCCAGTAAGGGTATGGCTAGCTGATGAGAGCTAAATAGCTTGAAATAGATCTATACTAGTCTCCCTTTATTTATTTATCAGCACAAATACAACATATGTATGTATGTATGTATGTATGTATGTATGTATGTATGTATGTATGTATGCATTTGTATATATACAAATGTAACAAAGGCAACAGTAAAATATTGTGTGTGTGTGCACGCGTGCATATATGCATATATGCACATGTGCATATATGCACATGTGCACATGTGCACATATGCACATGTGCATATATGCATATATATGTTTTTGTGTGTGTGTGTGTGAGTGTGTGTGTGTGTGTGTGTGTGTTGTAGATTAATTTCTCAATATAACATACTCCCATCCATGTATTAACCAATCTGATCATGGTTACACACCCAGACCAGATTGGCCACATTAGCTAAGACTGAGTGAACATTTCTCTGATGTTTATCAATTTGGAAAACACAGAAATGTAAATATACACAAGCCTTTCATGTGCAAAGAAAAAGATCGGACCAACTTAATTAAGAATTGTATATTAAAAATGTGTGATTTGTTTTCCCCTCACGCAGAGTGTGAAAAAATCTTTGAGATATTAATTCTTCTACCTTTGATTTTGCATTAAAACAGTTATTTTAAAATATATTTATGTGCATATTCTTCTTCCCGCAAATTATCGGGATTAAGTTAATTTACAACACAGACACTCACAGATATGAAGATATACAGCAGCATTTTTTTCATTGTAAACTATCATTGCAAAGAAAGATTCAGTTTAGCTGCTTTTTAGCACTATTTTTTTTACAAATTGCTAAGTTAAAAATTAATTCTCAGTAATAGTGTTTGATATTATACAATATTATTGTAAAAATTAAGTATTAAATATCTACTGTTTCTAAGTATTTGCCCATGTATCCACATAGATCAAAATGAAGATACCATTGAAGTGTCTGGAATTCAACTCTTGACAAGTGATTCAGATAGTGAAATATATTGTGATTCAATGGAGCAGTTTGCACAAGAAGAGGTAAATTTGCAACCTGTCATGTTGTAATATAAAAAAATATTTACATGATAATCATTTGACAAATACACAAAATTGTTTTGACGCTGTAAACAGTAACCATCTTATATTGCCTACCTGGTCAAAGAATTCAGCTCAGAATCAGTTTCAGTTTCTAATAAGCAATAGTAATTTTTTCCCAAGAGCCTGAATAGCTTTTGCATCTTTCTGAAGCTTAATGTTAGCTTTAAAAAGTAATAGTTTACATCTATGCACCTTTGCATTTAATTAAAAGCAGAGTAAGGGGGAAGGTAGTAATTAATGGGGGAGCTTTATAATGAGAGGGATAGAGGTATGTGGCACTTGTGCACAAGGCTCTCAAGATCAGATTATGCTATTGGGCCTGGAGTTCCCAAAGAATCAGTGACATGCTTAAATAACTCCATTGTTGAGCTGGTTGTTTTGTATTCCCTATTCAGCTAGGGTTTGTACCTGTTTTTATAATACTTATTGTTGATGTGACTTTTTCCATTTTTTAAAAATCTGTGGTTTTTACATATGATTATACCTATTTGTTATGCACCAGAGTCTCCTTGGGTAAGATGGGCAGCTATATAAGTTAGATAAATAAATAGTGCCTTTTGCTCTTGTTAACTTATAGATCCTGGAAATCAGCTCATCAGTCAAGGAAATTTCCAGAAATCCATTAACTTTCTCGGAAGTAGATTATAATAATCTGTTAGAAACATCTGGCTTTCTTGAACTTGGAAATCACAAAGCAGAAGGTATAAAGGAAGCAACAACTGAAGGAAAAGGTGAAATTAAGTGCGGTGGTGAAGATGGCAAAGGAAATGATGGAGGCCCTCAAAAAGAGAAGAAAAATGATGAAAAGGTTAACTTCTATGGAGTTCGAAGGGGAAGAGGTATTATTGGAATATAAGTATTTTGTTGGAACTCTTGCATAAATGAGGCATATTTAAACTCATTCTTAACATTTCTTCTGTTAATGGTTTTGTGTATGATTGATACATAAATTATATTTATATATAATACATATTAGAGCTGTGCATATTTTGAAAATGATTCACACTAGAGCTTTGGAACTCTGCTATTTATTAAAGCAGCACATCTTTATTATCTTCTGTGCAAGTAGTCGTGGGTTCCTACCAGTTTGGCCTGGTTTGGTCAAACCAGTAGTAGCTTGGCGGCCTGGGATGCTGGAACCAGCAGTGACCTAGGCCTGGCACGGCCCTGAACTGGTTCTCCCAGCAGCGCCATAAGCACTGCCATTTTTTTGCTTTTGTGCATGCACAGAACAATTTTAGTTCTGCGCATGCGCGCAGCATGCCCCTCAGCAAACCAGCAATAGTCTCTGCCAGAATCCACCACTGTGTGCAAGTCTAGCTTTAAGAATCCTTTTAAAGCAGTGGTATCTTTTTTCACATTTTCTGTAAGATTGGAAAAAGTTTACTTTATAAAAAGCATTGTGCCTTTGCACAATGTACAAGCATCATGAATCTTTTTGAAAAGATACCGTACTTCCCCCAAAACAAGACAGGGTCTTATTTTCTTTTGACCCACAAAATATGACCCACAATAGGGCTTATTGTTTTGGGGTTGCCAGGCGGCTGCTCCCTTGCGAGCGAGCTCCCGAAGAGCCGGCACAGCCTCGGGGGTGAAGCAGCAATGAGGGGACCATGCTCATGAGCAGCCACCCAGCAAACCCCCTCTCCAACCGTGCAGAGCGCCATTCACTGACCTATGGGGTATCCTTAAGGTGCCAAGCCACGTGGCACTCTGCCTGCCCCCCAGCTCCCGCGGCTTGGCACATTCGGGATAACCCCTAGGTCAATGCATAGAGTTCTGCCCGGCTGGAGAGGGTGGTTGCATGAGCGCCTGTTCCTCCCCCAGCTCACATTCCTTCCCTCACCTGCCCAGGTCTCCCTGCAGAGCCAGGGCACCGCCTCCACTGCTGCACTCCGAGCATAACTTCTTCTCCGGTTTGCAAATTCTTCCAGCAGTGGCCACTCTAGGAGTGCGCCCTATGGTTGTGGGCCCTATGGCTCCCCCCTCCAGCCAGGCAGAACGCCACTCCTCAACCTAGCGGTATCATGAAGGCACCAAGCAACATGAGCGCCTTTCCCCCCAGCTCCCGCAGCTTGGCGCCTTTGGGATACCGCTAGGTTGGTGAGCTGTGCTCTGCCTGACCGGAGAGGGGGTTGTCCAGGGGGCTTATTTTCATGGGGGCGTATATTTTTGCCCATGCGAAAAATGTGGCAAGGCCTTAGTTTCAGGACAGGTCGTATTTTGGGGGAAATACGGTATCTAGCTCTGATTCATTTGCTTTCCTTCTAAAAGTATGTTTCCCTTAATTTAGGACATAGAATGTATCCTTTAGGAGATGGTGGCCAAGGTGGACAGATGGGCAGTGGAGGAGATGGAGAACGGTGGGGTTCAGATAGAGGACCTCGGGGCACCCTCAATGAGCAGATTGCAATTGTACTCATACGATTGCAAGAAGATATGCAAAATATTCTTCAAAGATTACATGCACTTGAGGCACTCACAACTTCACAGGTAAATGTATGTGGATTAGTATCCAAGAAAGTCTCTCTGTCTACCTATCTATCCAGTGCCATACAGTTCAATATGGGGTATTTTCAAGGCAAGTATATATCTGAATATCCATTTGAATTTTTAAAAAGTTTTCCAAGGAAGATAATACATTAGAAGCTCTGCCATTACTAGCAATAGCAACAGCAGTTAGACTTATATACCATTTAATAGGGCTTTTATTGAATCTGGTGAAGAAATGTCTCTGAAACCATGGGTCATGGATTGTCTAGTACAGGGGTGTCAAACTGGATTTCTTCAAGGACCGGATCAGCATTATAGTTCTCCTCCCTGGGCCAGCCAGTGGAAGGGGAGGAGATGTGATGGACCGGACATCTCCTGCAGCATCCTACCAGCCAAAATGGGGTGCAGCCCCCCCCCCCCCATGTCTTGTTTTGGCTGGCAAAGTGCTGCAGAGGCTGTCCATGCCTAAAATGGGGCACAAGGGTGGGGAGCTTAAGCAGCCTCCCTGTGCCCAATTTTGGCTGCCAGGCACCACAGGCCTATCCTGTGCTATTTCTTGGCCAGCACAGCAGGCCAGATTTAAGCCGCACACGGGCCGGATTCAGCATGCGGGCCTTGAATTTGACACCCCTGGTCTAGTATAGGTTGCTAAAACTTTCATGTGTCTTTGACTGAAACCATCAATTGAGCAAAATGGTACACAGACCCCACCCTAGCCCTCTGAGGGTTGGGTAGGCTGGTCCTATCATCGGCTGCCGGAGGACAATCCAAGCAAGTAGGAAGTTGCTTTCATTACCATTATTTTTTGGCCCTTGATCTATTCTGTTTCTCTGTTTAGGAAAGGAAATGCTTCTAAAACAATAACCCTACATGACATGGGTTGTCTAACCTTTCTTAAACTCTTGTAAACTTATTAATTAAATTATTTAGCAGAGAATTTTTTTGACTTTGAGGAAATCCACTTCCCACCCATAGCCACATACTTCAGCAAAAGGAAAATAGAGGCAGAAGACATTTTTGAAAGACAGGGCGAGCTTTATCATTCTAATTCTTCTATGAACTGCAGTATCTAAGCTAGTCAATCAAAGTGAAAACAAAATATTTTTTCTAGAGTTTATTTTGTTACAGAACTAACTGAAAGGTCTAGACCAGAAAGGAAAGTTGGAAGAACATTTCTGGGACGTGATAGGGACAAAGAGAGAACAATGAAGTTTACAGAAGGAGGCAAAAGATCTATTGCTTGAGCTAAATTTTTATATGTCATATTTTTAATAAATGTGAGCAAAAACTACACCTGGACAGATCCTCAAAGATATGCTATAATATAAAGTTTTAATTTGAAACATGTTTTTAAATAGTTTGTTCAATCTGGTTTGTGTTTGTAGGCAACACTACAGCCAAATAATCAGCCTGAGGCACCTGTTAAGGTAGATTTTTATTTACTTCTTAATATACAAAGAAATCAGTTTAGAGCTTTATTGTGATTTTCTTAAACTGCGCAGATTAGAATAGAAGATTTTTTTTGCACCCAGTATCTAAGAAACTATTCCAGAAAATATTTTAAATGCTACTTTAACTATATTGAAAAGATGAATGGTTTATTGTTTCATCTAATTAGAGGTAGTTCACAACCTACGACCATAACTGGGATTGGAATTTTGGACTCTAAACAATGATGTCATTAATGACATCATCAAATGACTGGACCTGATTTGGGGGACATTTTTATCATATACATTAAATGAATCTGACTTCTTCAATTGACTTTGCTTATTAGAAGTAAGCGGGGAAGAATGCAAATTGCAATCAGTTGCAACTGTGTTGAATTTATATTTACTGACAAATAAAGAGAAACTGGTACAGATCTATTTCAAGCTCTTTAGCTCTCATTAGCTAGCTAGACCCTTCTGGATTCAAACCTAGGCTACTTGCATATTAGGTAGATGTATTAACCTCTAAGCCACAGGCTCTCCTTGCTTTGTCAGCTATTCTAGGAGAGAGCCTAACCAAATATGGGATGGAGCAAGCTGCTTCCACTTTCACCTTTCAGCCCCAATGCAGGAGCCTTCACAGGCAGTCACTTTTGCATCAAATTATATTTGTGCTGAATTTATATTTACTAACAAAGTATTGTTGTAAATGCAAGCTGGTTGCCAAGCACCCAAATAGTGATAACTTGACACAAGGGTTGATACGAAAGTCAAATGTTTGAGGATAGGTAATAAGTTACTTTTTCTGAGGCTTTCGTAACTTTGAACCAAGAGTAAATAAATGGAAGTCAAGAACTGTATGTGCAAAGGTTGCATGCCAGCATTCAGACCGAAATGGCCAACAAAAATAAATTGAAATAAAAAACCATATTGAACTTTTTAATGTATGTTAAGAAACAAATTTGTGTTGCTACATTGGCAGCTGCTGACAAGTAATTTAAATCTTTCAATGTTTATTTACTTTCAGAGAAAATACTCAAATTGCAGGACAATTTCAATAGTGTTATGTTAAATGTAATTTTACTGTGTACATATAAAATTTAAAAAATCTCTTCAGAAATAGTAAAGTGTTTGCTTAGCTTGCGATAACATGTGAACCACAGTTTGGTTGCAAACTTAGACAGTAAATCCTTAAAAGTTTTTGTCAGAACAATTATTCCAAAGTCTTGGGAGATGATGGTCATCTTGATGGAAGTGTTTTTAAATAGTTGATAGGCATCTTATTTATGATTTTTGAGTTATATAGGTGATTTTTACCAGGGACATTTTAATATTTAACATTGAAATTTTTATAGCAGGTACTGTTTTAATATTTATTGGTGAACATGAATTTTGTATGCCATTTAGAAACCATCATGGTGGCCCTTTGAGATTTCTCCTGGTACTTTAACCTTTGCTGTTTTATGGCCCTTTGTTACTCAATGGCTGGTGCATTTATATCTTCAAAGAAGAAGAAGGTAAGAATAAGGTATCAATTAGAGTTATACACACTTTATGTCTTAACCTTTAGGAACAACTTAATTCTTACCCCAAATCTTGGGAATAATAAGCATGTTTTGCATACAAAAGCTTGTCATCCATCTTGGTCTGGAAGAAATATACATTCACGAAATTTAAAAGATCAATTCTAGTCAATCAGACTGTGCTATACTGGGAAATACCAGACACCTAGCTAAGATTGAATTTAGCCATCTAATACAAATGTTGAGAACAGCAATAGAATAGAATGTTGGAATAGAATAGAGTAGAATAGATTGTTGGAAGGGACCTTGAAGGTCTAGTCCACCCCTGCTTAGGTAGGAAACCCTACACCACTTCAGACAAACGGTTATACAATCTCTTCTTTAAAACTTCCAGTGTTGGAGCACTTACGATTTCTGGAGGCAAGTTGTTTCACTGATTAATTGTTCTGTCAGTAAATTTCTCCTTAGTTCTCTCCTTGATTAGTTTCCACCCATTGCTTCTTGTCCTGCCCTCAGGTGCTTTGGAGAATAGTTTGACTCCCTCTTCTTTGTGGCAGCCCCTGAGATATTGGAACACTGCTATCATGTCTCCTCTAGTCCTTCTTTTCATCAAATTTAGACACCCCCAATCCCAGCCATCGTTCTTCCTGTGTTTTAGCCTTCAATCCCCTATTTTAGCCTCCAGTCCCCTTGCTAAATCTCCTTTTGTAAGAACTACATAGAGAATGGGCAGCATTTCCCAAGTTTAAGAATTTTTGAATTTCATTACATTTTTTATATATATGTGGTTTGTTGGACACATCCAGAATATGGAGCAAGGTGCAAAAGTGGAAATAAAGTATAAATAAATGTATCTAAAATAGTGAGAGTATACTAGTACATCTTATGGATATAACCTATCTGCAGATTTTATAGATTACATTGACACACATTTTAATGAATACTGGTAATGGAAAGCATTATGTATAGCTGAAGTGTTGGATTAGGACTGATCTGAAATAATTTCTATCTTCTACTACAGAGGATCAATAGGGTGATTATGGGCTAGATTTGCCTGGTCTTTTAATCTAACTTAACTGGAGGAAAATTGTATAGAGTTCCATCAATAACACAATTCTGTAAAAGGTTCTACTGATTCTTAACACAGCAATCTGTTTTCTCCCATTTTTCCTTTTCTTTTTCATTCTTCTTTTATTTATTCAGTAATGCCAGATCAATCAGTGAGGGCAATCATCAAGAATTTGGTGGCAAGTAAAATAGTAGGGCAAGAAAAAACAAATGCGCAGGTATAGAATAAATGACACACCGCTCAACACCAGTAACTGTTGGAAAAAGCTAGGAGTCTAGTGGGCAACTTGTTAAGCATGAGTTAGTAGTGTGCTGCAGCAGTCAAAACAGGCAATGCAGTCCTAGGGTACATCAACAGAGGAATAGTACTGAGATCACATGAGATGTTAATATCACTGACAAGTCTGACAAAGACCAGGGTTGATATGATAACAAACTTGCAATATTTGAAGAGCTGTCAGAATGAAGAGGGAATCAATCTATTCTCCAAAGCACCTGAGGACAGAGCAAAACACAATGGATGGAAACTTTTCAAGGAGAATTCCAACCTAGAACTAAGGAAATTTCCTGACAGTGAGAACAGTCAGTAGAATGGCTTGCCTCTAGAGGTTGTGGATGCTCCAACAAGGGAAGTTTTAAGGAGGATTGGCTGGTCATTTGTCTGGAATGGTATAGGGTCTCCTGATTGAATAGAGGGTTGGACTAAAGACTTGCAAAGTCCCTTTCAATTCTGTTATTCTGTAGAATGGAATAGCACAGAATTTGCAAGTTTCCAATGTAAGTAGAACAAGAGTTACAAGATTGGGCCCTGCTTGCCAAACCTGATACGCAACTTTATCTCAGCTATGTACATCATTGTTATTGAGCAATGGAGAGATATGCCCCCCTCTTTCTGAATTCTTTTTCACTGTTCATCTTACTATCCTTCTACTCACCCAGGGCCTCCAGTAGCAGTCCATAATAAGGATGTCTAAAATAAGAGTAAAGGTTCAAAAAGATTTTTGCTATGTGTTATTGGATCAGTTACTTAGAAGTGGAAAATAACAAATCCTTATCTCTGGGTGTTTTCTGTTTTTGATTCTGGCAGATTATAATAATTAACAATGCGGAAGGATTTTTCACAAGAGTGTAGAAATTTTGTTTTGCTGTTTTAAAAAAGGGTTTCTTACAGATACATATTCGAAATTACTTCATAATCAAAGACAAATAGATACATGCCAGGGTACTCTGTACAATGCAGAATTATCTAGTATCCAACAGTCTTGTGGGGAGAGAAAAATGTAGACATGTTGGCTGAATTCAAACTATATTAATCTGAATGCAGTTTTTTGTTTGTGACTATAACATTTATCCTATGGTTGAGGCACAAGCTGCTATTTTATTACACTCAAGGAGCATTAATGAGGTTGATTACAGATTTAAAAGAGCAAGTTTACCTCTTTAACATAGTATCTTCTTTCTCCTATTTATATATTTTTATACAATTAAAAATAATAATGGAAACTTCCCAAGTCAACATATAGTCTAGATAGTTCTAGACTTATGATTATTCGCTTAATAACTGAAGTTATGATAGACTTCCCTGGGGATAGTTACAACTTGGTTCTGAATTCCAGCGGCTTTCCCCCATTCCCACAGTCATGTGACCACTTTAGGCCTTGGCAGCTGCTCCACATTTACATCTATTTGCAGTGTCTTGCAGTCACATGACTGCACTTTACAACCTTTTTGCTCAAATCTTGTATTCTAGCTTTCAGCAGAAATGTCCCATTGCAACCAACTGATTCACTTAAGGACTGCTGCAGTCACTTTACAATTGCTGTGTTCACATCACCACCACAAAAAATGTCATAAAATTGGCTTGGTCATGTAGGTGACCCTTTTACAATTATCATGACTTATGACTGTAATAGGCAGGCTCTATTATGGTCGTAAGTCAAGGAAGGTATAGATGGAAAAATATATATGAACCTGAGTGCTTTGTTAAATATTTAAGGGTTTCAGTAACAGAAATTGTGTTGCAAAGAAACCTTTTCTGTTTTAAGATTAAAATTCATAAATTGAACTTTATATATAACATTTAGCTTATTAATTATGTACTTACACATTAAAGTTTACACTAGGAAGAATACCAAATGTCTAGCTCTGTTATTTACAAATAAAAGAGAAATTAAGGGGGCATTTTGCATGAATTTTGAGAAATAATCTCACTGGAAGAAATGTATATGTCTGTTATTTTCAGTAGAAATGCATGGGTTTGCGCTGAAGTTGATAATCTCTGCCCCTCCTCTCTCTTTCAGAAAACAGAACTGAGCCTTCCATTCCTGATTTTGTTTAAGAACTACTAGTATGAGAAGATTTTGAAAAATACTATAGTTAACACAGGAAATATAAGCTCTGGAATGATTAAAACATCCTTGTATTTTTCCTTAACATCTTTCTTTTTCTTTTTGCACTACTGAAGATTCTATACTTGAATGAGACATTTTTCCTATATTTCTAATAGAATAAATACAACTGTCCTACTAAGCAATCAAATGAACTACAATTATTATGACAATACTTTCCTGATGAACAGTTTGTATAATGTCTTTAATTTTCAGTTCCTATTGGGGAGAAAAAATAAGTCTTTAGAAAAGAGAGGAAAAACCTTGAAAGCATGTATCCCCACTCCCCAAAATTCCATGGTACTATAACTGTATGATTTGTTTTATAATAACAGCCTTTTGGTTAGACATGCAATAGATTGAGTAAATGGTACACCCCCAAAGGCCAAAATAAACAGGATTATTACTATTGCATTTAAGAGTATTGAGTCTAATTTCTAACTGCTAGTATATGTGATAAAGTTTTAATAAGTAAAGTGTTTGAGGCTGTTGATTTTGCTTCCACAGATGCCACCAAGATTATATATTTTTAAAAGCTACAAAAGTAGGCATAGCCATACATTTCAGTGTAATAACTGAGTCTCAAATAGCATGATTGATTCAAAGTAGTTCATTGGACAGAATGCTTAAGAAAGGAAAACAGCCCTGAAAATACTAATTTAAGTGCAGCCTCAGGGCAAGTATGAACAAGTCATGAACACGGTCTATTGAATAAAGAGACAGGTACTATCTTTATTCAAAAAGTCCAATTTAATTAATACTTAGTCATACATTTTGCATATTAAAAACTTGCTCTATGATGCTGTTTTGCATTTGTAAAGAAATACTTTGTAAGTGGATGCCAATGGAAAAATGATGTTAACAGCTATACCTTTTCTAAAGCTATGCAACCAACTCTGCTGTTAAATTACTTCCACTGATTAATTAGGACTGGGCAATTCCTTGTACTGTATTCAACACTGGAAGAAATGTATCAAAATGAATAAGACTATGATACTTGCAAGCAGGCTTACTTGCAAGTATCATAGTCTTAAGAGTAATATGTCTTAAGAGCTTATATGATTGCTTTTAACTCTTTTCAACATCAGAATGGAAGGAAGCTTTCAGCCATCATCGCAACAGGGGGCACTTCCCACCCCTGCCATGTACAATGCCTACAAGGGGGATGCAAGCAAATCTTAACATGCCCTGGGAACCCTAAACTTGGTGCCATTATATTATCCAAAAGCTAGGTGCTTTCTTCTTAAGACTGAGCGTTCATCAGGGTTAAAACATCCCCTGCAGTTTGCACTCTTTGTCCAGAGATTGGCTCTTGAATTTATAAAACGTAAATCTTTCAGATGTAGTTGTTCAATATTGCAGGTTTAGCGGTCTGACTGTCAGCTTGAGGAAAGGTAAATGCTTCAAGCCAGATAGCTCTTCACGCAGGTGCATCTGCAGGATATGGTCAGAAAACTCAAGGTGGCAGCAAAGCAAGTGTGATTGAAATTCTGCTCATATTTTATATAAAACTAGCCGATAGCCCGGGGTTGCCCGGGTATTTATTTAAAGGGGGAAAATGTCCAGACCAAACGTAATTTCTAATGTTGGATTTTCCCCCCTTATCAGAGGGAGCCTGCTTGTGGAGTACTGTGAAGTCATTACCATGGCAATTCCACTATGCTGTACAGTAGAAGCCATTTTACAGCAATACAGTAGAAGTCATTTAAAGGCTTGTGTCTTAACAGAACACACATCCCAAGGGACGTTAGGGGTGTCTTACCTCCACAGTATTTTTGTCCAGAGAGTAAGTTATCTATGTACCAAGTTTGGTTGAAATTGCTCTGGCGTACCAGAGTTATGGTGTTACACACACACACATACACACTTTTATATAGATTAGGCAGAATTTGGGTCACATTGTAGGCCATTCTTTAGACCACATACTCCTACCTTCCTGCAACAATTTATAAATTTTAACAGACTATATAGATATGAATATTGTACGAAGCCTTATCTGTCTGTTTCTGTAATGTTTCCATCTTGCTGAATCCAGAACATCCATTTTTATTGTAACAGATAAGCAAAATGTTTGACTGTTACAATAAACTTTTACTGTAAACTTTTAACTTTTCCTTTGTTTTAATCCTTGCTTTCGTACTCCCCATCCCCCAAATTGCTTTAAGGAAATCATTTTAGCATTCTCATTTTATATTTCTGCCTATCGATCCTATCTATATTAGGGTATAACAGCTGTAGTAGTTTTCTAAATGCAGTTAGAAAGAAGACAGAAAACGGTGAAGGCTAATTTTGGGGGGTTGATATGATCTTCAGCTGTTTTGCAGCTTAAAGTGATTGCCTCCTGGTTATAGTGAAAAAGAAAATGAACTAAAACTGACAGGTTTCCACATTTCCAGATAATGATGTGCTACACTGTAATTGATGAAACTAATGGGAAAAAATTCTGCTCTTTAAGGTTTCAAAGTTTGAAAATCAACTTTATATCTATTATGTACAAATACTGTAATTGCAGAAGTCAAACACTTCTGCTATATTATATAGAACATGTTTTTATGGTTAAATTTTAAGATAAATCACTTGAATATAATGTAAAATAACATTTCAAACAAAAGAATGATAGGCGTATATTACCCTAAGATTTGTTAATGGTCTTGTATAATTGTAAAAGTCACTTTTGGTGCATGATTAAAGCACAAATTATACATTTGCGGTCTTAATCCTTCCTTAGGCACAAAGCGAGCTGGGTGACATTAAGCCAGTCTCTCTCAGCCTTAGGCAATGGCAAACCACTTCCAAAACATTTTGCCAAGAAAATATGCAATAGCTTGTCCAGTCAATTACTAGAGTAGAATATTGACAAAAGCGCACTAACCCACAAAATAATAATTGTATATTAGTTTGTATCATAGGCCAGGTGAGAAATATCAGGACTCCCAGAATATTGGTGAATTCTATTATCAGTCTTTACATAAATGCATACATTAAGAATTTAAATGGACACCAGACTTCTGGCTGTACTTCTGGCATGATCAGGAGTGAGTTCCGTGGCCTTTCTCAGCTCTCCTCGTCAGAGGGCTACGATAGGAGCCATAGCCACCACCTGTAGGGGTGGTGAATTAAAGGGAGGTGCCTTGTAGGTCGAGGAAAGCCGCTTCTTTCCTCCCTGATTTGGAAAATCATCCAAAGACGAGGAGCAGAAGCAGCAAATATGGCTGCCATGCTGGGGATCATCTGAATAGCTAAGACAGTGCAGGAGAGAAGGTGAATGGTGTTTGAACTGGGTGAGAGAATACTTTTGGTTGAAATTTGACCCAAAGGAAATCTAAGGGGAATATATATTTAGAACTACTTGTTAAAGCTGCGAACAAGCACTTTGAAAAAATTCCAGAGAATTTAAGAAGAGAATTTTTTTAAGAAATAGAAAATTGAACTCTCAAAGTAAAAAGATGTGGTATTGAGAATGCTGGAATTATGGACCTAGAATATTTTTTATTGATACTGCTTTACTTATTGGATTTATAATGTAAAATAATTAAAATCAGATTTGCCAATGACATTGCAAAGTGGTTGAAGCAGGTTGAAGCAGAGAGCACCATATGTTTTTGAGAGAGGAACTATGCAAGCCTGTGATTAACCAGTTGAAAAACTGAAAATACTTACTGGACTATATGTATGTACTCTAAGACCACTGGAGATGTGAATATTAAATAAGAACTTTAGTTAAAAGACCGCTGAATATTATTAATGTATAAATGACTTGAAGAGGCTTGGATAATTCCCTGGTGCATTTAAATTGATTTGATTGATTATTGATGAGATATTAAAAATTGTGATTTGGAAGCTCTGTTTTGAATCGATTCCTGGATAACTGGCTAAAAAGGAGACCTATTAAAGAAGCAGCACAAGGCGGAAGTGAGTGGAGAGCTGAACAGAATGGAGCTGATGTTTCAAAGTATTAAGGGCCTTATACAGGAACAACATAAGGCTATGGTGAAATTATTTGATGGCATAGATCAAAAATATTACACAAGGGACAATGAGCAAAGACCAGGACAATGAGGAAAGAAAGGAGCACCAGAAGGAATGGAGGGGAAAGCAGAATTGAGAAACCTGCAATAAGAAGACGAGGAGATATTACCAAAATTAATGAAGATTAAGGAATTAAAACAGGAGGAAAATACTTTATAAAAGATTTAAAAAGGGAATGGGAGAAACAGGAAGATATCTGGAGAAAAGAGAGAGGGGCTAGAACAAATAGCTTTAAAATTAGACAGTGGGAAAGGCTAGAGGGGAGAAAAAGTTAGATCACATAGTCAGAATATAGATCTAGAAGTAATGGAATAAAATACTTAAGAGAAGAATATGGGAGGCAAAAAAAAGACTAAAAGTTCTGATGTAGGCAAGAGATGATGGATAAAGAAAAAAAGAGAAAGTAAAAGATCTTCCATGAATATATTTCAATAAAAGCGCGTGTATTAATATTAGAATTATATAGGCTGGATAAATATTTTGTATGTAGTGTGACAGAAATTAGGATAATATTCTAATATAACCAAATATGAAGAGTGAAATAGAGGAATTATGAATAAGAATTAAACATTAATTGGAAAATTAGAGATTGAATGGTGGTATTATTAAATATACATAAAAATATGATTAGCAGTGAAATGATAAGATTTATGATTAGTGATTAGATAATAAAAGAATATACTTTAATGTAAATGTGTATTAACAACAATCACATGGAGGATTGGAAAGAACATAATGTATTTTAAATGTTTAAATGATTGTGATTGGTACTAGAAGTGTACATTGAGACATTGAATAATGAAAGAATGAAGGATGAAATTTTAATATAAATTGATGTGAAGATCTAAATAAGGGAAATATGAATAATAAAAGGTGAAAGATGGGAAATAGAAAATAAGCGTCTTTGAATATTACAGTGATATGAAAAAAAATATAAGAAATAGAAATAAGAGGGGAATAATATTATATATATATATTATGATATTAAGATATGTGAAAAAGAGGGATGTTTAGAAACTGAAGGCAAGTAGTAAAAGGTATGTGTAAACAATGTGAAATAATGAAAATGAAATGTAATAACTGAGTAAAAATATTATGCCAATTTGTATGGAAACGTATGATACCTATGTATTGCGCCATTCACGCATTGATATGTATAAATAATATAAAATTAAAAAAACGTGATAAAAAGTTTAAATGGATTAAGAGTTTAAATTTAAATAAAGTTAAATTTCAACATCAACCTACTGAAAATAAAAAAAGCACTGTAGAGTTCATAGATCTTGTTATCCATCTTTAATTAATATACAATAGCAACTGACAAAGTTGATACATTCTAAGGCAGGGGTGTTGAACTCAAAGCCTGGGGGCCAGATCTGATCTGCA